TGATGACACTGACACTTTCACTGACATGAATACTTGCTTTTGAGGAATGAACTATCCATTTTGAGCAAGTGACATAGTTTTGCAGGTTGTCAACTAGGTTTTGCAGTTTGCAATAAATGTTTTGAGAAATGCACTAACTCTTATGCAAATGTTAATAGTGATGTGAGAAATGCACCAAAGCGATTGAGAAAAACTGTAATACTCACTATTTCACTATTTATTTTACAGACTAAAATGCCCTAAAAGGAAGTTAATCATTCAAATAGATCATAAACAAAAAGCTCCAATCACTTGTTTCTTGCCCAACTTCCCACCAACTCTTCACAGAACAACTTCACAGAAATCTTTGATGTCCTGCTTTCAAACATTTTTGATGAGACCTGAGTTCAAATGGATACAAAATGCAACAAAAAGCTTGTGACAGTTTTAGATTACAGATTTGTAACTGTGTGAAGGAGCTGCTCAGAGCAGTATATTTAGTGCTGGAAATCTAAGAGCCCGCAGTGTGTTTGTTTGGTCAGTTTGTCAGGAGGCTGTGTCAAATTCATCTGGCTTGAAGTGCTCACTGCAGAGCTTGGATGACTCTGTGGCAGTAAACCCCTCCCTTCTCAACACAACTTCCCACTGCCTCCTCAAGTTTTCATCTTTGGGAAAACTGCAAAATGTGAGAAAACCAGTGAGAGATGTAAAAGTGTCTACAGTCTAACGTATATAAAAGGGAGAGAGTACTCCCCCCCTTCAAATTAAGGTTAATGACCAAAAAAAGATTATGCCAAGAAATTGTTTGGAAACCTTTCGACAGAGAACCATACTGTTATGTTGTTATTATATCTGTATTTGTAGGTACTAATGGGTGAAGACAGTCCCTGTCTCCTGAATAGTACTGAACAACCCAAGTTTTACAATTCTCTTGTATCCAGGTGAGGTCCTAAGTGACTGATATCTGAAGGAATGCTCTAAACGCTGTAACATTCAATGAGCTTGTAAACAAATGGCAGCATTCATAGCATTAGCAACGACACATGACTGATAGTCTTAGCAGCTGTGTTGCAGCTGTGTTGCTACATGACATGAGAAAAATATTTAAGACTTGCAAAATATTAAAAAGATAATTGTGAATAGAAATAACACTTCTGTCTGTCCCACCTAAGTAAAATGCCTGAGTCAGCAACAGTCTTAAAACTATGACCTGACAGTCTGTGTTGTTAGCCAGTTAATAACTACAACCACATTCATAATGACAGTCTGTGTTGTTAGCCAGCTAATAACAGTTAACTACAACCACATTCATAATGACAGTCTGTGTTGTTAGCCAGCTAATAACTACAACCACATTCATAATGACAGTCTGTGTTGTTAGCCAGCTAATAACAGTTAACTACAACCACATTCATAATGACAGTCGCTGTTGTGAAGATAAGGTTGTCATAAAATCGGCGTGGAGAAAAGCGCAAAATAAAGTTAGATGAAAATCTCGATTATGGTTCACATGATTTATAAATTCTCGGCTTTGACAGCTGTCCCTACCGCTAGCCTAGTCTAGTCTAGTCTAATCTAGCTGCTGGCTATGTTAGCATTTCGCTAGTGTCCAAATAACGTCAGTGAACATAATGTTATAAATGGACAAACCAAATTATTGTTAAGTCTAACTTGTGAAAGGTAATTCCCCGCGATCTGGTGTCAATGGTGGGCCGGTTTTTACAACCGTAGGCTGCACAAAATACCGGCATCCTTCCTCCGTGGGCATTGGAGATCGACTGTCTGTTTATGTGAGAAGACCCATCCAATATGGCGCGCTCAGGCAGTCGATGTGGCGTCTACATATATATGTCTATGGGATTTCCAAATCGGAAACTCGGAGCAACCGCATCAACCCCGACTTACGAATTCAAGATGGCTGTCGGTCACATACATAATGAGTAAAACATAGAGTAAACACTCTGCTAAAGTACTGTTTATAGCAATTTTATCTTATTTGTTTTACATTAGGTCAGCCTCATCTGCGGCGTTCATCAGTTGGGGTGCATGATAGTTTTGAAGCTGTCTATACTCTGAAAGTGCAAGGGCAACAAAGGCTTTTTTGCGAGTGTCCATGTTTTTTCCGACTTGTCCACCGTCGTCAACTAGAACGCAAAAACTGTTGTCAACTCGGAGGTGACATCATTCCCACTTCCGACCTCCGAGTACAAAACGAACGCAGCACATTAGAAAAATGTTATTTCAAAACTATATCCGGGCCTTCAACAACTTAATAATAAAAATACATTTCAAGTTAAACAAAAGGGGAAACTGAAGGTAATCGGACAGTCACAGAGGAATGAGAATAGATATTTAGACAACAACGGAAAACAACAAGCTCTCCATCCTGGAGAGAATTTAGTGGGAAGAATGGCACGCATCATTTTGGTTCTCCTGCCCAGAAAAAAAAAAAAAAAAAAAAAAAATATAAAATATTCATATATTTTATTTTTTGGAAGTGTCCATCTGTGGCTCTTTCTTGGGCTAGAATTCATGGCATCCTGGAGCCAAAATTACTTAAAGTTTTTTACTGATATACCTGATAAGACTGGAGAAACTCGAATGGAGGAAAAAAGATAAATATTTGCTGAGAATACAATTGGTTGCCTGTAAGAAATCCCTGATCAAGAAAAGGCTGAAAAGAGAAATACCTAGTGTTGATGAGTTGGTACAGTATATAATATTTATGTAATGAAGACAATGACTTTTAATTTTATAACATATGTATTTATTTATTCACCTACCTATTCATTTTCAATCCTTATTTTGTTATTGATTTTATATATTTATACATGTTTTATTTTTTTTATCTTTCTTATTTCTTTGTTTATTATTATTATTTTATTTTATCTATTTATTTATTTTTTCTTCATTTCACACTTGAAAGGTCTTCATGTTCATTTGGTTGTGGATTTCATTTATGGTTATGTGCTTTAATTGAAATGCAACTTTCTAGTACTTTTCCTGCATCAGGAGAATATAAACAGTAAAAATCATTCCTATAAGGGCAATCAATACATGTGACAGCCAACCCTGGAGAGACTATGACAGTCATGTCCAACTGGGATTATTTTGCTGTCAACTACGCTAACAACCACATGTTGCTGTCTATCTAAACTCTATCTTAACTACAGCTCTTTCTTCATGCTTTTCAATGGTAATAATTGTTTCATTATAAACCCATTGTGTAAAAGGAAAAGAAACATAGAAAAGCTGGATATTAACATTTTGACATGAAAAACACCAAAAGTCCTCTCACCTCAGTGTTACTTGTCTTACTCCCAAAAATGATCCTGCGACCTCTGACCCAAATTCTGAAAATTTCAGCACAAACTCTTTAACAGTGCCCTCTAGGGAGTAAGATCTAACTAACTGGTAGATTAGACTCTTGCCGTATCCAGTCGGTAAAACAGCAAAAACGTCCTTCTTGCAAAGGAAAGACTCGAGCGCCGCCTTCTGTTCCTCTTTTAGAGAAAAAGCCAAGTCTAACTCGTTCATTGTAGCGGCCAAAGCAAAGTTTCAAACAACTGGTGTTCATCCGTAGCCATCTTGCAATGTTTACTGACTGATTCCGGACTTCGTCGTCGCAGCGCTGTCATCATCTGTTTAGCTCACCTCTGGCACGCCTATATCAGATACACCGATGTGATTGGTGCAGCTCGGCTCCAACGGCATGGGTATTGAGTAGGGATGTCCCGATCCAGCTTTTTCCACTTCCGATCCAATACCGATATATATTACAGCCTTGAGTTTTGGCCGATACCGATCCGATTCACTTATTTTGTTGTCAGTCATGTTAGAAAAGGTTTGATCAAGCGATATTACTCTAACAAGAACAACTACTTAATCAGGTTAGTTAGAATGATCCACAACAGTTGGTATGAGAAACTGACCCGTTTATTGTTAACAGGGTTAAATAAACAAACTTTAAACTTGAACATTAACATTAAATAAAAAATATAGCTGGTTTGCTTTGGCTGCTTTGGGCCCTTAATAAATAGAAAATAAATCAGCACAAGAAATCTTTAAAATGTCTAATATTGAAATTAAAATAGCAGCAGGACTCCACACACTTGTGCTTTGGCCCCCTAATAAATAAAAAATAGATTAACACCACAAGACATTGTTGACATTTAACAAACAATGCAGCCTTTCCTTTTCAGTTATTTTAGTAGTGTCAATGCAAGCCTGGTGCTGCTGTTTCCTGGGACCAACAGAGGGGACAAAAAAATACACACAATATTGTACAACTGTTTAAACAAGCAATAGTACATCCATGGCTCCAATTTCACTAATTGTGCCCAAAACAATGCCATCAGTGCTCTTTACTTAAACAGTAAGAGTGTAAACCAAATAAAAATATCACTCTCAAAAAACCAGAGCAGAAAACAATTAGTCATTTAACTAAATTGACTGCTACTCTTCCTATCCTCCGTGTGTGTGTCTGCCTTCTGCATGTTGGCCTGGTGGATTGATAGTAAGTGCTGGAGCGGATCACTGGAATGGACTGCTTGAATAGCGGCACGCTGGGCTGGTCGGAAAACCTGGATCGGAGTTCTTGGATCAGCATTTTTCCATGCAGTCCGATCCGATGCACGTTTTTTGCTAATATCGGCGGCTGATACCGATCCGACATCCCTAGTAATGAGCATCATTACTGATTGCCAGAGTGACTCGCTGAGCAAATTCAAATTGTGCTCTCGCGAGAACTCTGGATTTCCAGGGTAGGTATGGTGAGGAAAAAGCATGATATTAAAACTTTTTTTCACATAGACCAATTCCACCACATGAAAATTGAACTGTTCAGCCATCAGATGTGGTAAAAAAAAAAGATATGTCAATTTAGACTTTGCACAAGTACAATGAGGCCAATGAACACTTTTGTACATTTGTACTTGTATGTACAATTTCCATTATATTACCTGGAAAAGAATATTCTCTTTGACTAATGTATATTGATCTTTGCCTGTTTTGTCTTATAGGGGACGTATCACTTCAAGATTGGGGCAAGATATGTGGGAGGCTATTACCAGAACATGAAACATGGACAGGGCACCTTCTACTATCCAGATGGATCTAAATATGAAGGTACAAAGAGCATATGAGTTGAGATAGTTGCCAGCTTCTGCATTTCATCAGTGTGCAGGGTCCAAAACTAACTTTTTCACTTAGCAGCCAGGCTGGCTGGTAAGTGAAATTTTTTACCAGCCAGGCAGATATTTTACCAGCCAACCAAATAATTAATAATTTAAAGGAAAAAAAGTCAAGTAACTTAATGCTGCCGGTGGATGAGACTGGGGGGTGGCAGCGGCGGGAGCAGCAGCAGCAGCAACATTAACCTCCGTCTCTTGGTCGTCGGTCGGTAAAATCTCAGCCTTAGCAGGTTCTTTTGCTTTAGTTTTTTGTTTTTTTGCGGGAGGCTCCGCAATACCTGGCCAGCATCGCCACATGATACTTTTTCTTACTTCTTCTTCTACGGGGGTTCAGAGCATGGAGGTACATTAACAATAGGTTCGTTTGAGATGAGCCAGGCCTGCGCAGATTCGATCACCGCCGATCGGCGCACAATGCATGCTGGTTTTGTGTCAGATTTCATCCCGACTTGCTCTGACGTATTACAAAAGTGGACGGCGACAAAACCGCGAGAGCGAGGAGGCCGCAGTTTTTAGAGCCAGGCCCTGCAGTTGCTCTCCACCGACTGCAGCGCCTGGCTCTCACCTGATCTAACAACTGATTGGTTAAGATGTCGACTCAACAATATGACGTTTTAGATAAACTTTTCATTTTTGTTGAATTTTAGAGATTAAGATTGTATTTGTCTGATTTGAAGGTTTATTCTGTGAACAGAAAACATGTTGTGTGACTGATGGTGATGTTTAGTTGTCAGAGACTAAATACATTCATCATAAACTATATAGAGTCTACTGTATATTAATATTGGACTGTTTTAATTATTGAAGTATTTAGCAACACAGAGACTTGTGGTCAGTGGGATGTGAGGATTCTTAAAATAACGTGTACAGATGTGAAGCCCTGACTGTATCTGACTAATCTTTAATGAAAGCTGTTGTCTTGTATTTTTTTCCTCTGAAAATATGAACCTTATAGTCAAACACAGTTTATTCAGCCTGTGTAGTTGAGGGGACAGGTCAAACTGATATGATGCTGATTTACAGGAGAGTTCATGTCAAATAGAGGATAAACCATTAACATAAACTACAGATCACCTGTAAAGCATTTTAATAAATTAATCTATCATAATTAAAACAACTGGAGACTGAAAACAAACTGACATACGAGCCTGATCACTTTTTTAATGAATTGACATCATTCCAGACATGATGTTTGTGTGTCTGTGACTTCCTGTACGGACTGAAGGCTGCTGGAAACTGTCGGGAAATTGTCCGACTTCACCGCAGCTTTTTGTCACCGCTGCGGCCGCCTGCTCTCGTCTACTTTCCAGGCGAGGCGCAGTTCATCTCGAACGAGCCTATTAACAAAGTAGTGGAGTGACAGAGTGATACATCCTGTCAGCCGAGGGGTTTCCTATCTGTGCAGCCGAGCACCACAGCACCTCCACGGAATATTACATCCAGAAGGACCCGGTGTTTCCTCCGCAGGCTCCACTTCACTCAGCTGCCCGACAAACCTGCTGCTTCTTCCCACTTTAACCTGAATGACAAACCGGGGCTCGGTGCTCTGGTTGGATCCAAACAGAGAGCCGGGGCTAGCTTGGAAGCTAGCGGAGGCTAACTAGCTGTGCCTCCCTCCGGTCATGCCGCGGCTAACGCTCCGCTAGCCTCACAGCTGCGCCTCGCCAACGAGCCTAACAGCAGCTATCCACCTCGGCGCGCTGTGTTAACGCAATGACTGACGCACTTACGTGACCAAAGATCGTCTCTGCCTGAAATACACATTACTCTGCCAGGAAACCAGCCGATACCAGCATCGTTCTCCAGTAACAAAAAATGAATTTTTCGCTGGTAAAAAAAAAAAAAACTCATCAGAGTGGCGAGTGGTCTTAAAAATTTACCAGCCAGAGACAAAATCTATCTGTCTGTGTCTGTCAGGGTCGTGGGTTGAGGAACTGAGACAGGGTCATGGTGTATACACTTACCCTAATGGTGACACCTATGATGGAGAGTGGCTGCATCATACGAGGTATATCTACAGTTTTAAAATCACAAGTGCATTTCATTGAGACATTTATAGTTAATTTCTGAAAGCACACATCCTTCTGCAGTGTTGAGTCACGCTTTTTCCTGTGTGTCCTTGATTTAAAGACTGCTTGATTTCTTTTATCTAAACTCAGTGATACAAATACACAACAATACATGTGATTTATCTTGGGACATCACTGCTGTAGAAAATAGAAATATGCTTTTCAGTGTGGATTTGTAGGTCAAACAACATCTATGATGATGACATTATTTAGATATCTGTGTATGTGTTGTTTCAACAACACATACACAGATATCATGATGATGACATTATTTAGATATTTGTGTATGTGTTGTTTCAACAACATGAAATGACTGTTTTTTTTAACATACAACAGGACCAAATTACATACAATTATCTGTAACTTGGATGTATCAAAACCTTTCACTTCTCAACCAAATTTAGACTAGTTTCAACAATGTTGTCTTTTTACCTGCACATTACCAAATTTATTCTCATTAGTTACAGAAAATGGGGATTTTAAAACGTCCTTGGTGTTGTGTGATATCCAGGCATGGCCAGGGCGTTTACCACTACAAGGAAACTGGCTCAGAATACAAGGGCTCATGGGTGAATGGCAAGATGGAGTCAGCTGGAGAGTACATCCACTCTAACCACAGATACAAGGGTAACTTTGTCAACAATAATGTGAGTTCTACTTTAATTACTTACTCACAAAATGCTTGGTCAGTGATTGATGAAATATGTAACATCTTTCACTGTGGTGTGATTTGGGTTTGCAGGGGACTAAATAGTTTGGTTCATTTATGCCAGCCAGATCAGTCTCTGTCAGATGAGTAATAGTGTAGATGGTTAAGTATAGTTAATGTAGAATACATAGTACTGTCTATATCAGCTTTCAGTTAAAATAAATATGTGTTTGTAAATCTTTTTACATCACTTTGGCAGTCGCTCTAAATTTAGTTCTTCTACACTCCATTTGTGAAGTTTCAGAATAAAGCCATCATGACTGCTTGTAGAAAACTACAGTTAATTACAACTTGGGTTTCACTTTTGTAGCTCTGGCCATCAGTTCAATCAGTTATGATAACTTTGTAATAGCCAAGATTTCAGAATGTGGGAACACTGCTAAAACAAATAGACCCAATTGAGTGAGAAACATGAGCAGTCAGATCAGACAGGTTGTGAACTCTCAGGTTAGACAAACGATAAACTTATTACCCAGACTTTACTTTTTAAACATCCATCACAGTTTATGACAAGAATTATTAACAACCTCACAGGTGCATTTACTTTAGAGTACAATATTACTATAACCAACTGAATAACCCAGTCGCTAGAATAAACGTTGGCATTGTACTTTTCTGTGCACAATGGATATCTTACATTTGTATGTTTCCTTTGAGGGAGATATGTTGCAATTTTATGTTTCTATACTTTTTAATGTTCAGTTTTATGTTGTGACAGTGCCGTCACCTGTTTTAGTTGGTCTCAAACCGTGCTCTGCTGCTGTCTTCTCCATGACAACTGTCTCACCAAGGTGTAGTGCCATCCACCATCCCTTCCTCCTCCTGATGAGAAACTCACCTCATACATATATAATGTAAACTAAGTCGATTTAGAAATGTTGCTATGATGCATATGAAATGTACAAATGTAACGTATCAGTGGTTTGCAGAAATGTAAAATGCCAAAATTCGATTTTTGCTACTTGGCTATAATATAATAAACCATATTTTTATTTCAATAATGGTAGTTTTTGTATTATGGTATCATTTAGTAACATTGTCATTGTCAAAGAAGATTGTTTTATCTGTTAATGTTCAAGTTGTCTCTGCCATCCCATTCTCATTTTGCAGCCGTATGGCCAGGGGAAGTATGTGTTCGACACTGGCTGTGAGCAGCATGGTGAATACCACCAAGCAGAGCAGGTAACTCAACATCAACACAATCCAACTTCATTTCTTCATGATAATCTAGAAAACTGGAACTTAACTGAAACTCCAGCCAGCTACCGATGAGAACGGTCAAAATATCAAAACACAGAAGCTGCCCTACCCGGGCTCCAGAGAAGGTTATTTCACCATAGGAACCTCAGAGGGAGCAGAGGAGGTGCTGCCACAACCTCTATACACAACATTTGTCAGTAGCATAGATCACTCAGACACAGCAGTGTCTTCCATGATGATTTTTGGGGTATTTTCAAATATGCTAATGTCTTTTAATGCAGAGGAATGCATCAGTGCTGTTGAATATACTGCTAGAAGTATTCTTCTTTCTTACTGTGTACACTTGCCTGTTAAAAGAGCATGTTTGACTTTATATGCATGATGTGACTGGTTGTGTTGAGTGACTTTATAAAACTTCAGGATGCTTGTTAACTATATGAAGTTTGTTTGTTATGTAAGCTGCAGTGTGTCATCAGTGAGTGTCGAGTTTGCAGATGTTTTTTTTTCATGTTTGCCTTGCTGCACACAGTCAGAGTGCTTCCATGTAACAAATACTGAACACAGCGAGGCCTACTGTCATTTGCGAAAACATCAAGATGGAAGTATGTGTGTGCATTTTGCTTGTATTACAAACCAAAATGTGTCACAGTAATATATTTCAGAGCATTTCTCTGTACACAAAAAATGTAAAGCTTTGTCTCATGCTCCCTCCGTTCTGTGCAGGACCGAGCTGAGGGCAAGTGGGGCGAGTTGGCCTCCACCACCATCCTCAAGTGGATTCCCAAGTGTATCACTGGCCTGACACCATGGACTCCAGCCAAAGACACCTCAGGTGAACTTTATCAAGGGGAAACACTGACAGACCTGGGCTTGTTACAGTAAATATACCAATCTGCTGAAGTTCAGTCTCTGTTGTTGTTTCTGAGGCATAAATTCAACCTCATGACTGTTTTTGTGACTGTAGTTTGAAGTGTTGCTTCTGTATGCCTCTAATGCTTCAAACACAGAGGGACACAGAGGCCAGACATGATATAATGATGAAGAAAGAGATTGGGATCAAAATATAAACTTAAGTGATGGTGTGTTTGTGTGTTTTCTTTTGTCAGGAAGGGAAAAGGAAACCGGTTCAGCAGAGGAGGGAGCAGAGAACTGAGCTGTGTGATCAGCCCACAATCCTCATTTTTTAACCTATGTTTAAAAGGCAAAATAACATAAACATATTAATGAATGTGTAAATAAATTTGTTAAGCTTGTATTTTTTTGTGTTTCCTCATGAAGATGTGTGGTTGTAGCAACTGGAAACTTTCCATTACCTACTGTGATTATCATAGTGTGTACTTTAATAAAGTGCAGTGCCCCCTTGTGGCAGTTCCCAGAAGTTCATTTTGTTCTGGTCCCTCCACAGAGAAAGGTAAGTTTTTTGCTCTGTCACTCCAAGGAAGTAAATTACATTTAATTGGTGTTTTGGTCAAATTTAGCGAAGCCTTTTAGCCATCTGCTAGCAAACATGAAACAGTCTGTTAGAGCAGGTGAGAGTGAACAGCTGTAGTAGGCTAAAGTTTGATAAGGTAACTTTATCACAGGTAAATAATGTCAAGCTGACTCTCAGAAGTTGGTCGATATAAATAAAAGAACTTAATATATTTCCATTTTTTTCTGACACTTTCTGACACCTTGCAATGTGCTCACGAAATGTTATCATCAAGAGCTAAGTAAGTTTAGCTTTTAGATGCAAGTGGAAGCTAACAGAAATGTGTTGCTTTTAACTCCGTTACGGTCCTTGTTAATATTTTATTCATAGCTTTTGTTTTTTTTGTTATTTTGATAAGTGTGATCAGGCAGCCAGGAGTTTTCTCTACCATCAAGCCATTGTGTTGTTTAGGTATAATATACAGGTGAAAGGTAAAAATAATAAAATGCAACCAGATTTCAGGGCTGAGGGATTTAGCTATTTCAGACTGAGTTTGGTTATTTTGTCATCTAAAGAATCTGCTGTACAGTTGCTGAGACAGTAAATAGGCCTAAACATTTCTTCTGTTCTTGATAACTCAGATATTGTGAAAAGGTGATTCTGTAAAAAATGATTAAATGCAATATTCTATTTTTGACTGACTACAGATGTAGGTGATAGTACTGGCCACAACTGTCTGCTAGACCCTGCAGGTGGAGGCAGGAGCTGCAGGTTGCTGACAGATGCTGTAGGTGGAGGTTTAACAACAATTCAATTTCAAAGAGCCTATTGAGACACCTCTCTCCAGATGACAGGGAAAAACTCTCCAATACTAACAGTGAGATTAAATTGGAGTGTTCCATGGGAAGATAACATTGGAGAGACATTCTTCCAAGGTGTTTCAGTGTCTTTACGATGACAATAACAAAAATTATAAATGAATTAGTTGCCCCCCCAGAAGAGAATTTTGAACATTTGACATCTAAATGAATTAATTTGGTGCACTTTCAGAGTATCAATCAAGTATCACACCAAGAAGCTAGAATAACAATTTCAAGGTTTTTAATGATGAAATATGAACAGTTCACCAAAAAAAGAAAATTTGGTCATCAGCTACTACAAAATGGTTGGGGCTGGGCAATTTTATGCAATTCTGAGCAACAAGAGGCAGAATAGGAAGACAACAAGAACGTCTGCATTAAAATGTACATTTTACATCAGTTGAGACTTGAACTCAATCTCTGACACCAAGGAGCATCTTCTATCTGACTGAGCTAATTGGCAAGTGACAACTCATCTGTGGCTTCACAAATTGACTAAGCCAGTCACCAGGATGACAGCAGCTGTCAAGGCAGATTTGAAAATACACATATTGCATATAGATAGCATAGAGATAATTTAATTAATTAATCATTAATTTGTTTTTAACAATGATTGATTTACTCCATAAGTGATGTTTAAAAATGGTATTCTTGCATTGACTCCAATTGTTAACATGAGATCAAAATTCAAAATGCTGTCAAAAATTCCATTTTTGAGATAAAATTCTGATATTTGCCAAACATCATCTACCATGACTCAAAAATTTTGTCAATTTTTTAATGAACATTGAAAACTTATTTAGCAAGAATTTGCAAGTATATGTTTACAGTACCGTTTACAGTCAAACATCTTGATCCACTGTAGGCTCAGAAAGAAGAAGAAAGAAAGAACGCGCAGGAAAACAATAGGTTCCTGGCAGCTTAGGCAGCCCCGACCCTAATAAAATCTTACAATACAATCAAAATAAAATACAATACAAAATAAAATAAATGAAATAAAATAAAATACAAAATATAATATTTTTCCATAAAAACAGTTACACTGTCTTATTTTCTCATTCTTTTTGGTTCAAACACAAAGTCCTGCAACATGTCCAAACCACTCCTTTTCAAGGTGGAGGCTTTTGATAGTCTGGCAGGGGCAGAGGACTGAGAGGAGGTTTCTGGTAGTCCGGCAGAGGCAGAGGACTGAGAGGAGGCTTTGAGTCCGGCAGAGGACTGAGAGGAGGCTTTGAGCCCGGCAGAGGCAGAGGACTGAGAGGAGGCTTTGAGTCCGGCAGAGGACTGAGAGGAGGCTTTGAGCCCGGCAGAGGCAGAGGACTGAGAGGAGGCTTTGAGTCGTCTAGTCGTATTCCCGGCCTGGTGCACTAGTTTGTTTGCCCTCACAGACGACCGAACCCTTGCTGCATCTGTCAGCTTTCTCTTCTTTAGTGCTTCTTCCCTCTCCTTCTTTCTTTTCAGGTGCAGCTGATATGTTGCATATGACGACAGGCAGGACATCCTCAATGGCTGGTCCATCATCATCGTTGTGGCTGTCCACTCCCTTGCTTTAATTGCAGATTTGACTATTGCAAGGCTCTCATAAGTCTCCACATTCATTGTGCATCTGTCAGCTTCGAGGATGTCATCCATCAGATTGAAGGATCCCTCGACCAGGGGGCCAGTGAAGATGCTGAGAAGTGCTTTGACCAGCTTACCCAGAATAGGAAATCTCACATCTCACATGATTGCACGAGCTACCAGGTCCACATCTATTTGGTACGCCTGTACCTCTAAATCTAGTTGACCAATCTCCTCTGGTTCAACTACATTAGGCAAGGCCTTGCCCAGTGTGATGAAAGCCCCACCAACAGATTCATCTTGAATCAAAGAAGGATTCAAAGCCGAGAGTGCAGTGATGATGGGGTTATTGAGAGGAAGCTTTGTGAGAAGGAATTCTGCAACCTTCATGTATCCCTCTCTGAGATTGCTGTAGTATCCACCCATATCTTCCTCTCAACACGAGCCTTGTTGAGTGCCGAGTAGTAGTGTGTGCCCACAAACAGCCTTTTGTCAGACAGCTGATTGTCTTGACTCCGGACATCAACCTGGATAGATGGATAGATAGATAGATAGATAGATAAATAGTGTCTCACCACACAGGCAAACATAAGACAGTACAAACAAGACAATGCAAGGTCAGCTATGTACAGTATAAAATCAGAGTAAGTGTGCTTCCATGAAAAGATAAATGTAAAATCAAATGAGTGATAAGAGCTATGTACCTTGACCAACTCCTTTGCCCTCAGAGGGATGCCTGCTAGCTTCATGAACTTGGCCAGTAGTTCTCTCACCAGAGCCACCATCTTGACATGCGGCAAGTGCACCATGGGCTTCTCACTTTGCAGCCTTTTCAGAAATGTCTGAAAGGTTGGAAGGACACCTGCCAACACATTACAAAATTAGTGATGCAGTTAAATGACACAACCGAATATAAGAACAGATTTTTTTCACCAAAAAGATATTCAGGGTCTAAACATCTATAAACTCCTCAAAAAAACTTCTGAAACATTATTTCAGTCAATCATATCTCCCCCAGGGATGCAAACAGTGCGCCGAAAAGCACAGCTCGCTTTTTTCATGGCCATTTGGGTGACTTGTTTTTTGTTTTTTTTAAGGGGTTGGTGTAATCCAAAAATGGATTTCTGTGTCCATTCTCACTGAGGGCGAATATCCGTATAAAAGTTTATTTCATGGGTTGTTAAGGAAGTTTGCACACCAGGGTGGAACTTTAGTGTGGTGAAAAAGTTTCTGCCCAGACTTTGACCCCCGCGGAATTCGCCCGCGAAATCCAGTCAGGCAGGACAGTATGGAAGTAAGATTGATAAACCTCATTTCACAGCACCCCGTCCTTTTTGATAAAAGACGGGATGATTTTATGAACAATGAATTAAAGGACAACATCTGGCAGTCCATTGTCCAGCTTGGTGGCTGCGGTGAAAGTGGTAAGTGCTAAACAAAGTTGATGTTGACGCTTGTTAAATGTTAGCTTGCTAGCTCGCTGCTGCTGCTACTCTTGTCCATGTTCACCCACACCCGTTAACACTGTGCGGACTTGGAACACAACAACGAAGACGCAGCTGAAACAATTTGATGACTGATGACTGAAATGACTGATTCTGAGCGCAGAGTACGAGTGTCGAGATCATCTGAGGTAAAAGCATTCGCTTTTTCCGTTGGCTGGCACTTGTTTAACACATAGAAGTTTTTCTTGTTAAATACATTACCATGCTGTTCAAAGTAAAAGAAAGATCCAGCAATTGCCAGTACATTTTATCTTTTGAAAAGTGCAATGAATGATCCTGCAACATTTCCTGTATCATGATAAATGTCAAGGTAAATGTTGCCCCCTTGTGGCACTTCAATTTTCCAATTCTCCCCTGCCAATATTGGAGGCAGGCCTGTAGGCCTATTTGTTAATTGAATCCAGAGGAAATATTGGCTGGTATGACCTCATTAGGCAGACTGGGGATATTTTTTTTTCAGTATTGAGGAGAGGACATTGTACATTTGAGGACACAATTTACAGCTTAACCTCTCTCTCTTATTGAGTAGGCCCCTTAGATGTCTTAGAATATAAGTTTTTCTTGTCAGCACTGCTTCCTTAGTATCTGTAGGTGTGATGCTGAAATTGACTATAAATGCACCCTTTAAAGCTGATATTTCAAAAAATTTCATCCCAGGGGAGCATGCCCCTGGACCCCCTAGGGGGTTCGTATCCTTCTCTCTTTTTTTTTCCATTTTCTGTTTGCATCCCTGATCTCCCCTTTCATAATACCAATAAGGGTGTATTTTATACCATTGAAAAGCCTGATTAATCGCCTTTACCATGAGGTGTAGCTTGTAAGGATTGTGCATTCATGGAATGAGCACCATGCACTTTTGTGAGGAGTTTACATGCACACTAGGCCTGCAACAATACACATATTTGTAGTGAACCTTTTGATATAATGGTCTCGGTTCGGTACGCACTATGAACCAAACAATACACAATTTTATTTATTTATTTTATCAACTTCTGACAATGCCGCCTTGTGGCGCCTTGTGGCGGCATT